TAAAAATAATAACATATATTTAATAAAATATACAAGGCAGGAAAAATACCAGTAGAGTGACTCAAATCGGAGTTCGTACCATTGCCCAAAAAACCAGGAGCAAAAGTTTGTGAAGATTATAGGCAATAAGCCTAATGAGCCATTTACTGAAGCTGTTTTTAAAGGTCATCCACAAAAGAATTTACCGGAAAGGTGAGGAACAAATTGCGCCCAGTCAGTTTGGATTTGTGAACGCCGTTGGTACGAGGGAAGCTTTATTTAGCTTGCAGATCTTGTTTCAGAAATGTAGAGATGTCAGCTGTAATGTTTTTGCATGCCTGATTGACTACAAGAAGGCTTTCGATAGAGTCAGGCATGAACAAATATGGAAGTGCTGAAGAGGACAGGGATTAATGGAAGAGACTTAAAAATTGTAGCTAATCTGTATTGGAATCAATGAGCGGTACTCCGAATAGATGGAGAATATACAGAGCATGTTAAAATTTTAAGAGGAGTGAGACAGAGGTGCATAATTTCACCACTGATATTCAATCTGTACTCGGAGCACATTTTTGAAGAGGCCCTAAGAGATATTGATGAGGGCATCTCAATAAATGGAATCAAGCTTAATAACCTGCGGTATGCAGATGATACAATAGTGTTTTTCCAATACCATAGAAGGGCTGCAAAAACCTAATGAACAAAATAACAAAAACAAGTAGAACCTATCGACTGGATATAAACACCAGCAAAACCAAGCTAATGATCATGAGCAAGCAAAACATAACTGGAGAAAATCTGTATGTGAACCAAATGAGAATTGAACGTGTCTCACAATACAATTACTTGGGAACTATAATCAATGAGTCGTGGGACAATACCCAATAGATTAAATGTCGCATCGGAAAGGCCAAAAGTGCATTCTTGGCTATGAGCGCTGAGTTCAAAAGCCATAACCTCACCCTGAAAACAAAAATAAGGCTCCTTAAATGTTACGTGTACTCAGTGCTCCTGTATGGAGTAGAAACGTGGACATTGAAGGCAGAAACTTTATCAAAACTTTAGGCGTTTGAATTATGGTTATACAAAGAATCCTGAAGATACCATGGACAGATAAAGTCACCAATGAAGAAGTATTGCGGAGGATGAACACAACCGCGGATTTGGCCAAGATTGTAAAGAGCCGTAAGCTGGAGTACTTGGACATATAATGAGAAATCAAGGCAGATACGAGCTACTCCAAGCTACATCCTGGCTTGCTAACCTAAGAGCATGGTATAGAAAGACCTCAACACAGTTATTTCGTATAGCAACCAACAAAATCATCATAACCAGAATGATTGCGAACGTTCGGAACGGACAGGCACCCTAAGAAGAAGAAACTTTATTTGTGGCTTATTCCCATTTAAATAGTAATTATTTCCAGTTCTTGATGTTCTCTACCTCGCATCTACGTCGTATATCTGTACTTCTAGCTCTGTTCCAAGGTGTCTTGCTATCCGTTTTTCTAAGTGTTTTTATCTCTACTATTTCTAACATCCTTATGATATCCGTCTTATTCTATTGCCAGCTTCAATAAGGACAGTTAGTTCTTCTTCAACTTTTACTTTTATTGTGTTGTTTTGGTAGATATTTCTATCGTTTTAATTATTTCTAGAGGTATCTTTCTTGCAAAGTGCATAACGTCCTTTAATTTGACATATTCAAATGCCTTCTTAAGCTCCACGAAACATAGATATGCCGGTTTTCTCAGTTATTATAATTTGACATGGTCAAATGCCTTCTTAAGTTCCACGAAACACAGACATGCCGGTTTTCTCAGTTTTCTCATATTAATGATTTTTCTTGCACTTGTCTTACTATAATATAACGTCGTATAAAATATGATCCTCCAGACCTTGTTGTTCTTCTGCTAGTGTTATAATTTCATTCAGATTATTTGTTATCAGTTTGGTTGTTAATTTTAGTATTGTGTTTAATAAGTTAATCCCTCTGTAATTTTCCGGGTTCGATGAGAGGTATTAGGATGCTTGATCTCTATTCCTGAGGAATTCTGTTTTCTTCTATTATTTTTTGGATTAGTTTTAATAGTTGTTTGGCCAGATCTGGTCCTTCGCACTTTAGAAGTTCGTTTCGTGTTATCTCCTCTCCTGGTGATTTTCTTTTTATAATTTCCTTAATCATATTTATTTTTCATGGAGATCTCCTCACGGACCTATGTAGCACGAATGAACTACGTATCAACAAAACTTTTTTCCCTCATAAGGAACAATACAAATACACATTCGAAAATACAAGAGGTTAAAGGTCAATGATAGACTACATCCTGACGAACAGGGTAATACATCCCTCTCAAATATTGGACATAAGAGCACTAACATCTGCAGAAATAGGAAGCGACCATAAGCTTATACTTGGAAAAATCAGAATGACGACACGCATATGTAACAATAAAAACAATAAAAATAAAAAAGAAGAATACACCACAAAGGTAAAAGTCGAGAGTCTGCAGAACGAATCAACAAAACTTCTATACCAAAAGAGAGTCAAAGATAAACTTGACAACGTTCACATCGTAGAAAGTGATGGAATCGAAGAAAGCTGGGCGAAAATTAAAGCAAGCATCCTAGATTCGGCAAAAGAAGCTGTAGAAGAAAGGAAAATTCTTAAAAATAAATATTTTCAAAAGCGGAAAACTCCGTGGTTCTGCGCAGAAGTGAAAGAAAAATGCAAAGAAAAAAAAGAAAGCTTACTTAAGATACATGTCTAACAAAACACCACAAGAATACAACAATTACAAAAAGATAAGAAACGAAACAATAGCACTAGTAAGAAAAATTAAAAACGAACACTGGGAACGCTTCTCAAAGAAATGGAACACGACTTTTACGGTCTACAAAAGAAAATATGGCGTTTCATAAGAGGCCAAAGATCAGAGATGAAAGACTTAATCGAACCGAAACACATAGATAACGACACATGGATTGAATACCTAAAGAAGCTTTATAGTGATGAACAGCAAATGATGTTAGAACCAGAAACACCAGAAATCATTACAAACGAGGAAGTCGGGATAACCGTACAAGAAGTAAACAAACTTCAGAAAAACTGAAGAACAGAAAATCTGCAGGTAAGAAGGAATTCCAAATGAATTATTGAAATATGGTGGAGAAAGCATTAACAGAACAGCTAACAGCACTAATTGACAAAATCATCAAACATAATAAAATACCTGAAGAGAGGAAGAAAAGCCAGCTTATCCTATTATACAAACAAGGAGATAAAAAACAACCTGAAAACTACAGAGGTATCAACTTATTAAACACCACTTTGAAGCTTACAACGAAAATATTGCAAGGCCAAATATAATCAGAGAATTACCTTAGCGGATGAACAGTAGGGTTTTCGCACAGGAAGATCGTGCACAGATGCAGTATTCATCATAAAACAGATTACCGAGAAAGCACTAAAGTATAACAGACCAGCATTCATATATCTAATAGACCTGAAGAAAGCGTTCGATAAAGTAAAGCTTAAAGATGTAATTCACCTTCTTTACGATAGAGAAATTACACTAGATGTTATAAAAACAATAGAGAACATTTACCAGAACAACAATATGGAAGTCAGAATAGATGACCAGCTTACAGATCCAATAGATATGGGCAATGGAATAAGACAAGGAGACTCGCTTAGTCCAACGTTATTCAATCTAATCATGGATGAAATCATCAATACTATTAATAAAGGAAGAGGATACAAAATGGGGAACAAAGAAATCAGAATACTCTGCTATGCAGATGATGCGGCCCTAATTGCATCCAATAAAGACGATCTACAAAGACTAACCCATAGATTCAACACAAGGGCAAAGGACTTTAATATGGTGATCTCTACACAGAAAACTAAAACAATTGTAATCAGTAAAGAACCAATTAGATGTAAACTGGAAATCGACGGTATCAGCATTGAGCAAGTAATGGAGACAAATTACCTAGGAATTACACTGTCTAGCTACGGAGATGTGGAGAAGGAAGTGAAAAATCAAGTACAAAAGGCTAATAAAATAGCAGGTTGTCTTAATAACACGATATGGTGCAATCCCCACATTAATACCGACGTGAAATCAAGAATCTACAAAGCAACAATAAGACCAATAATGACATACACTTCAGAGACAAGACCGGATACCTCCAAAACTCAGCAACTACTAGAAACAGCGGAGATGCGTTTACTGAGGAGAATTACAGGAAACACACTGAGGGATCGAATGAGGAGTGAAGAGATCAGAAGAAAATGCAATATACCCAGAAATAAATGAGTGGACACTGAACAGAAAAAAGGAATGGAACGAACACATAAACAAAATGGAAGAGACCCGATTGGTCAGAATAGCGAGGGACAAATCACCAAAAGGTAGAAGAAGTATCGGGCGACCACGCAAAAGATGGAGTGATAACCTCCAATAGAGGCATTAATCGACATTGAACAAGCATTTTGCTTATAAAAAAAGAAGAAGAAGATATTCATTTTTAGTCCATATTTTTCACAGAAACTCTTTGTTTTGTTTAGCAATAATTGTAGTTGTTCAGCAGAGCTTGCCATAATCACGGTGTCATCTGCAAATCTTATGTTGTTAATAGATCTTTCGTTAATTATTATTCCTTCCCTTTGAGATAGTAATGCTTCTTCAAAAATTGCTTTGTTCGTTATCATCTTAATTTCTTTATTACTAATATAGTCGTTTTATTACGACTATTTTCTTGGTCTCTGATATTGTGTTGCTGATATTATGTCCTCATTGCTTTTTACATCTATGTTATTATTTCTGATATATTTTTGTTTACACAATACTTCTTTGTAGTTATTTTTAAATAAGAAACATACAATTTATAGATATATTTAAATTTGTTCTTTTATCACAATAAAAATACTTGCTCAAATTTATAATATACTAAAGAATAATAAGAAATTAAAAGAAAATCATTATATCTTTAACAAAATTAATTTGTCATCTTTAGGCTACTTCCTTGGCTGCTGGATTTGCTGCTGATGATGATTTAATAGTAACATTACCCTCAGGAAGTAAAATGCGAGGATATGTCCTTCAGAGTTTTGAAGGGAATGATTTCCATGCTTTTGAAAATATTCCATACGGAGAACCTCCGATTGGACAGAACAGATTTCAGGTAAAATACAACAGATAATCAAAATTATATGTGGTGAAAATAATATGGACAGAACTTTTAACAGTTGGCATATATTATTATCTTGAGAATATACGGCGTTTATATTATTATCTAAGTAGCGCTTTATGTAGACTCCGATCAACACGTCGGATCAAGTGGACTCCATAATAGGATAAAACATTTTTGGGGCCGTATATAACTTTTCGCGTACACTTCTAAACTCCTGCGATGTTCCCAATAATTGTATTAGTAGTAGATTTTCAAATTTTATAGCCGGTTACATTTTGTAACTTAATTAATTGTTTTAATTATTTTCAAACTTAAAAAAGTATCTATTATAAACTTGAAAAGGGTTAGTTTCCATTTAATATATTATTATTTTTTGTTAAAATGCATGGACACTTAAACATTTAGTCTCTAAATGTATGAATATCGAGTAGAGTTATCTTGTAATAGTTTAAGAAAGTAGAAGCCTTTCGGTAGGATTATAATAAACACATAAAATTAAAGAGAACTCTTAAAACAGATCTTTATAGTTTTTCAATTACTGCAGTTTATGACGTGCAATAAAACAATAATAATTTATGGGAAGTGTTTAAAGAAGTAATCACCAACCTTTATTAGAATACGGCACAATAAGAAGATGAAGCATACTAAAAGTATGATCAAATTTCCCAAATACTGATATTTTTCTACTTGTTCTATCACGTTACCATTTATTGTCAATAGGTGATGTATATTTTGTGGCCTTTTTGTAATCAGCATGTACTTCGTTTTTTTAGCGTTTATAGTAATTCCAATCTCAGCACTATTTATACTCAAGCTTTCGATAAGATGTTGTAGATCCTCTATACTCGTTGCTATGATCACAATGTCGTCTGCATATCTTAAGTTAATAATTAATTTTCCGTTACCGGTGACTCCGCTTCGATATTATTGAGCGTGTTTTGGAAAATTTCTTTAGAATATAAGTTAAACAAAAGTGGTGATAAAACATATCCCTGTCTAACTCCTCTACAGATCCTCATTTCTTCTAAGTGTTGCGCATCAATTTGAACTATGGCACTTTGGTTCCCATAACACAACTTTGGTAAAAATAAAACACTGAAAACTTTATTTTTAAAACTTCCACAAAATTAATTCTAACTTATCACTACAGATGTTTCGGCAGAGTGCTCTTCTCAAGTCTCAAGTTTCTCGAATCCATCAATCAGCCATTGCATTTCTTAGACTTTTATTTTAATCCTCTCCAGTCAAAGATTTTGAAGCAGCTTTGCTCCATTACTCCATTTTTGTTGATTTTTGTCACTGTTTCTCCTTTCTTCTTTATCATCATTACGTAGCGCTACAACACTGGATGGGTCTGCGCCAACTACAATTTTCTCCAAGTTGACCGATTTTCCCACGAATCTGCAATCAAATGAAATGTTAACTTTTTAAAATTTGATTGTATGTTTTCTCTGCATTGTATATTGAGATGACCAAGTGGCATTCTTCTGTGTTAACTTCCTTTCATACCAGTTTTATAAGTTTGACATCTTGGCGTCTATGCATGTGTCCGATCTACCTTTTTCGATTTTTTTTTTAACAATATCGTTATAAGAGCTTTCTTTATTTAGTATGTGTTCTTATTCGATACGGATTTGTATTAATATAATAATTAGGTTAAAAAATTTTCTTATTATTTTTGTTTTATTTATTTTTTATTTATTTTGCTTCAACCACTTAGGGTTATTAGCATAAGAAAAATATAAAAAGTGATAAAGACTTAAGACATATACCAAATATCAATTACATAATAATGTATACAATATATTTTCATTATTGATGTATTGTATTAAATTTTATTAAAAAAGTTATAGATTTCAAAAATTCTATCAAGTCAGCTACGTATTTAGATTCTCCTAGAAGTTCTTTTAATATTTTTGGAATGTGGTGATATAGTCTTTCAACTGAGTATATTGGACAATCAATGAAAATGTGCTTTACTGTCACTTTACATTCACAGACAAAACACACTGATTCCTTTTATCTCTTCAAAAAGTATTCATGTGTTGTAGAAGTGTGTCCTAATCTGAGACGTGTTATTAGGACTTGATGTTGTCGCTTTGAAGGCTAGAAGTTCCATGGAAGAATGGAAGATTTTATTTCTATCAATTTAGTGGTGCTTTTATTCCATTGGTTTTGCCAAACATCGTGCAATTTTGTATTTAAGTAAGGTTTTAAATCTAAATGCACCGTTAGATTTTCGACTGATGCGACTTAATTGGTTAGTGCGGACATAGCTAGACTATCTGCCTTTTCGTTACTATCTATTCCAAAGTGTGACGGTACCCAGAGGAACTCTACTGTCAAATTGTTTTGGTATATATGGTATAAAATTAACTTAATCTGCTGTAATATTGGATGAGAGGGATAAATCAGAGAAAGTTAGAACAACTTTCTCAGATTTATCTTAATCACACTGATTAAGTTAGAAGAAGGCATTAAGTTAGGTGAAGTCAGTCAGTCAGTTACAATTAAATTAGATTTATCAAGAAAGTTAGTTCAAGACAGTTATAATTAATTTAAATTAGAAGAAAGAATTAACTTAGAAGAATTCATTAAATCAGATACAGTTGGAGAGTAAAATAGTAAATTAATTTAATATAAATAGTTCAATATAGGAGTATAGTATATTATATGGAAATTACAAGTATTTTAAATTATAATATCTATATGCAATTTCACAATACAAGGATAACCGATGCTGATTAAGAAAAAATTTAGTGGTGATTATAACTTTGATTTTGGAAAACTTTAGGCATTCAGTGATAGAAAGGTACCAAAGTTGTTAATATAACTTAATATTTGTAAGAATTTCAAATTTTAGATAGGTTGTTTTAAATTTTATTGTTTATATTAGATATTTATGTCTATTTCATAATAGTTATAATAAAGATAATTTAAAAAAGTACTTAAAAACTAATTCTTGAGAACCGCGATAAAAACCCTATTACTCATATATTTTATTTTAAACGCTCATTGCTCATATACAAACAAAAGATCATAACAATATATATATTATTTATATATATATATATAATATATATATATATATATATATATATATATATATATATATATATATTAAATATATATATATATATATATACATTGTTATTTCCGCCACTTAATTTTATAAACATTACATTATAAAATTCTATTTCATTGTACACTCTTTAGAAGTTTAACATAGATTGAAAAATTGGTGTCTGACAATGACAGATGACATCTGGCATCTTTAAACACGAGTGGTTCAGGATCGTATCTTAAATATAGTGCATTTAAAAACAATTCGGTTTATTAGATTATGATACATATTGGAAAGATGTCAGTCTTATTATTAATAGAATTTAGATTGTTTTATGTGAATCATCGCCAATATGCATTTTTTATTGTAATTTTGTCCTTTTTGCAAATTTGTACATTTTCAAAATCAAAGGAATGGCTATTTTCTAGAAAATGTTTGGCTAGGGCTGTTGTGTTTAATATGTTGATTTGTACACTATGTTTGTGTGCAAAAACCCTTTGCTGGAAGTATTGGTGTGTTTGCCCAATATATGTTGAATTACAATCTACAATTGATTTTATAAATACCATTTGATTGATGACCTTCATTAACCTTGGGTTATATATTACATACAGAATAAATTTACTAAAAATGAAGAATTTTTGTGTGAAAAGAAAACATTTTTGATGCGTATTTAATTCAAGCACCTAAAATATAACCAAATGACGTATGTACAACTTTTTAAATTAAAAACTTTCAAAATAGTATTTAGCGCATTTCTAGGAACAAAATTATAGCAATATTTTGACTTTTTAGCCGCCTATAGTAAAAAAACCGTGGGAGGGAATATTTAATGCGACCACTAACGGTAAATTGTGTCCACAGACAGTGAGCCAAACGGATTTTACAATAATTGGAGAAGAAGATTGCCTCGTTTTAAATGTATATAAGCCATTAGTAAGTTAATTTAATAGTATTTTTTATTTTCACACACACACGCGCACATACACACGCACACACATACACACACACACACACACTCTACACACACACACACACACACACACACACACACACACACACACACACACACACACACACACACACACTCTCTCTCTCTCTCTCTCTACACACACTCTACACACTATATATAACTCAAATTTGGGAATGCCAAAAGTCCTTTTTTAAAAAAAGAATTTATTAGAGCTAAAACGAATAATTACAATAAAATCAGATTCTAAACTGAATAAAATATTAATTAAAAGAACACACATACAATTGCAATTATACAATTCACAATATTATGAAAATATAGCATCAGCACTCTAGTTCAATGCTTTGACCATGTCAGCACTCCTAAGTCCATGGCACGAATAAACCCATAGGCGTCGCTCTATAACTCCTCTTCCCCTAAATTGAGGCTCCTTCTGGGAGGTCAATTTTTGAATTCGAATCGGCTGGGTCCTGTATGTTTGACATTTTTATGTCTTTCTTTCTTTTGGTTTCTTTTCTCTTTCTTATCGTTATTTTCTTATAGGTAATGTAGATGATTATTAGAATGATTGCAAGATATAATATAATGGTCCAAATGCTGGGAATGTGGTAATTTTCTCTTTCTTCCATGATGGGTGTGATTCTGTTTGTGGGATTTTTTTCAAATTTTAAATTTAAATTTTAAATTTTAAATTTTAAAAGCTAATTTTTCCTCATAGGAAATATTGCTAAAAACTGGTTCATCTCTGGTATGATTTCGATGTGATTGCTTTAAATATCTGCCTTAATATATTGACAAATTACTGGGTGTTGCTCGTAAGATTATTTCCTTTTCGCTTAGGTGTTCTTGGTTATTTTGTAGATGGCTTGGACATTGGAAAATTTTACCGTGGGTGCAGATGTCGTTGAGAGGTATTATTGTATTTTTATTTTTTAACAAATATCTTGTATTAGG